TTAAAAAAAAATAATAATAAGATATGGGGTCTTGCCTTGAAAATGACCTTATGGTATCATGTACTGTAAGGTTATTTTTAAGGCAAAGACCCCATATGTCTAATTAAATTATAGTAAAATTAAATATATAATTTATATAAAAATGGAAAAAATTATTAAAAAAATCTTAGTACTATTTTATTTTAAAATTTATTTAAAAAAAAAAAAAAATTTTTTTTACATCTCTATATTAATAGTTAAAGTTTTTATTAGAATTCAAAATTATAATTGGTTTAATAATAATTACAACTCTAAATCCTAACTATATAAAATCTAAAATTACAGTATATTAACGGAGGTGTGTATTATCAAAAAGAAGTATAAAAATCAGTTTCTCATAATTCGATAATTTTTATTACTGTTAAGAATCAAAATTCTACAATTTTAACTAAAAAATTAATTAATAAAATTTATCCGATTTTTTAAACCTTGAATTTATTTAAAAAATTTACATTAATATAAAGTAGCTCTTCAGTATATTAGTTATACATATCAGCATGTAACTTGTTTAAAACTTGATATAAAAAAAACAATTTCGTCTGCAAATTAAATCTAAAAACGTTAACTTGTTAATACTGTATGTATTCATTAATTAAAAAAACCTGTAATTAGCGTAATATAAATAATATATATATCATATATATTATTAAATATTGGAGAGATTTTGAACAATCAGGATCTAATAAAAAGAATCTATTCTTTTTATTAAAACATTTGAAAAGTCCAGCGGGAGTTCCAGATTTTTAACAATAAAACCGTTATTACGGTTTATGTTTTATGGCGCTAATTAAAAACCTTAATTAAAATATTGTATCACTTCTCACTGATCTAAATCCATTCATTATTTAAGTACATCGCTTACGCACTATATCTCTATGATATAAAAAGTATGTTTGATATTAAACAAGAAAGTGTGACACAATAAATATACAAAAAAAAACAACTTTTTATAATAATCAAAAGCTTATGTGTGAACTATTATTATAAGAAATCGGTCTGCCGATTTTTGATTTTTTTCATTACTGGCCAGGAATCAATTAACCATACAAATCATCTTCATCAGCACCATCCTGACCGAATCCACTACTAGTAACATCCATAGCACTTCCACCACTTACACCGTGTTGTATTTCTGCGGAAGGACCACCAGTTTCTTCAGGGAATTTAAAGCTCAATCCAAAACCACGAGACTGTTGAAGATTTTGGGCAAATATTTCATATCTACGAATATCGCTATCAGAAACTGAACGGCGAGCATATTTCATAGCTTCTTCAAAGTGTTCACTAATAAACAGAAATATAATAAGTTCATAATAAATATAACTAATTTCATTCTCTTTTAATAAAAAAAAGCAATGGCTACAAACATTGTAATTTCCGGAACTGGATCTTCTTCATCTTCGTCCATTGTAGCTTCTTCACCTTCTTCTTCTCCCTTCTCTTGTTTACGTTTTAATTCTTTTTCGATACTTTCCCTAATCGCCAATTTACATGCGCGTTGACAAATTTCTGTCAAATCTGCACCAGAGTATCCTTCTGTTTTCTGGGCCAAGTATCTCATTTTTTTTTTAACCTTTTCAGATACAGGTGATTTTCGTAATGT